AAACACCACACGCTGGTGACGCCTGCTGGTCAAAACTGTGTAAATGCAACAAAAACTCAGGCCAAAACATGCATAAAAACAGCTTTTACAAACCCAATGTAAACGCTTTCTTTAAAATACAATATATTAAATGCAATCAAAATAATAAAATACCATTAAAAATGAAGTGTCTGTATAATAGGCCTATGCGTCTTTAAAATAATTATTTTTAATTTGCAAAGGCTTGTTTTGTTTGTTTTATGGAGAGCTTGTCTAAACAGGCCAGTAAGAGACTATTAACTACTGCTCATCCTTTTAATTACACAAATGTCTCATTAAAAATGTCTACAAAATGATCAGACTGATCCGAGATCGTATAACCATAAACGCTGATGCAGTGGTTCTCCACTGCGGGACGATTTCAGTAAACTCGCATGATTCACGGGTTCACAGAGATCGCCCCCCTAAGGCGAATTATTGAAATTTCGAAACGTTTACTGAAATCACATGACTCTGTGACGTTTATTGAAATCACAATGACTTTGTCATTTTGATACGCGCTTCGAACCACTGTTTCGAAACAATTGATTCGCAAAGTTTTCGCAGCTTCACGAAGCAGTGTTTCAAAAGCGGCCATCACTACTCTCATCATACTCGACTCCACATAATACACAGCTTTTAATGAAGCAGCTCAACATTCCTTCGTTACTAAAGTTCTAAAGTGACGTTCTTGAATTAGTGACGGATCTTGCGCTCAGCTGTTAAACTCTCAAACTGAGATTTGAATCTGTGGCAGAAGGAAGTAGTTCTGCACATAAGAGGGTTTTTAAAGACACCCTGTTGTTGTTTTTCTTATATATTTACACACTCGTGGTGTCGAACTGTTGTATAAACGCAATATCACACTCGTAGCCATGAGAAATGGATGTATATCGGCACGCTGTGGTTACCTGCGGCCAAATCACAGCCACTGTTATGGTTTAACTGGTGACCGTGTTATCTGGTGACCTTCTTCCGGTTTCAGGTCCTCTGCTCCAGATGTGATGGACCGCCCGCAGCAGATTCGCCGATTCTGAAAGCACAAACTGACGTGATATTAAACTGTCTAATAAATGCAGACTTGCTCATTGCATGCTTTTGGTATTCTTGTAAAGATTACAAATCATTGGTACGATTGCTTGTAACGGCTGAAGTATGGAAAATAAATCAAAAGTCTGCTTGGCACGGGTTTCGAACGCGCGCTAAAAAGAGGTGCTATGTGTGACAACAGTAATGTATGCACTGAGCTACCGGACTTCTCTAGCGCAGCTGCAGATTTTGGGATTGAGGTCGGGATTTTATTCTCAGCGTTACATTACACAGCTGCCAGAATCAAGGAAGTGTGCCCGTGTTAACTTGTGACCCGTGTTTACATATTATGAAAATGAACCATGGTTATTATAGTAAAAGTATGCACCGAACCCCCAACTGCTCCCCGGGCACCGCAGCAAAAAATGGCTGCCCACTGCTCCGGGTGTGTGTTCACTGCTGTGTGCATGCATTTTGGATTGCAAGTATTGGGTCACCATACTTGGCCACATGTCACTTCACATCACATAAAGCGTTTTAAAAGTAACACTAGCAGTGTTGAAGTTAATGAGGTAACTCACTTATTACAAAGGTGTTTGACTTTCTTTTATATGTCTACAAAAGTTCTTATTAAGAATTAACCCTCTGGGTCAAGGTATTTAAAAAAAATAGAAGTAATAAAGAAGCTTATCTGCACGTGATTGCATTTTAACGTATTTTTCCCCCGATCAACAGAGTCTGTGATCATGCGCCGTAAACCTACTTGTTTTTTAAACATGTCAAGTCCTCCCGTGAAACGCAAGAGGCTCTGAAAATACAGGGTGGAATGGGAAAAAGTTATTTTGGGGTATGTCCGGTTACTAAAGATGGACATAAGGCTAACTGCACAGTTTGCCATAAAGCAATTTCCATTTTTCACGGTGGACTGTCTGACCATGAAGCAGCACGCGGTCACGACAGTCACGTCCATGCTGCTAAAGGGCAAAATACCCAGGGAAGCATTGATCAGTTCCTGATACCCCAGACATCACCTAAAGCTGATATTATAACAGAACCAGACTTGGAGACAGAGGTAAATAAACCAAACCAGTTTTTACTGAACAATATGGATACTGGTGTGAGAAGCGAGTAGAAGAGATGATAAACAGCATAATAATGCTGAATGAATAGTAACAGTCTATTCTGTTTACCAGGGGATCTGGAGGATGATGGAGATAATCGGTGAGCACATGCTTCAAAGATGAGCAGGATGGGATTTCCAGGAGCTGGAGATGAGGTGAGAGCAGCAGATAAGTCGATAACAGATGCTGAAAGACAAGACTTCTAGCAAAAGGACATCAGGTAAGTAATGTGGAGAATGAGTCCTTGTCCATATTGGAGACCAGGGTTATATAGTGAGGGGTTTATGAGCCTGGTGATTCTGTGACGCATTAAGTGTGTTAACGCCTAATTTTGAATTAAAAATAGTTGCTTGTCAAAATACATCAGAATTTGTTTAATTTATTTTTTATTTTTAATGTTTTAATTTTAATGTAATTTTTAATGCATTTTGGTTCAGTTTTCACACGAATGGTGTACATATTTAAAACTTTTATTGCAAATACAAACGGATGACACTTGTAACAATGTTAGTCAATCACACAGTTTAACCTGTCAATTTCCACACTGACTTCACAGGATCAACCCCGTGACTACACACTGTTTATATGCTTAAAATAAAAAAAGGCTTGCATTAAAAGTTTTGCATTTACTCCATAAAAGGATCCTCCATGTAACATATTTCTTTATACATTTCTTTTGTCACCAGAAGTATGTCATAAACTCAAGAGTTTGAACACGTGCATCAGAGGTGGCATTTTGATCAATAATTTTTTCCCTAACGTTTTTAATAAGACATAGTTGCCTGTAACTTGTACATAGTGATGGGTCTTTATTTAGTTTAAGTAAAATGCCTTGTTTTGGATTTCTGCTATCATGCTTATGAACAGTGGCAAAATAGTAGACCAAAATGTTTAGAAAAGTCTGGTGGGTAGCCATATATACCTGGAGCTTTATTGTTCGATAGGGAGAACAGGGCTTCTTGTTTTTGTTGTTTGTAAGTGGTAAGTGTTGTGGTATGTAGGTCCTGTAGCTAAATTTACGTAATGATTACAAAATTTGTCTAATTTATATTTTATATAAATTTGCCTTATTAATTAAATGAACTATTATTTATATGCTTTTTTTCCCTTCTTGGGGCCCAAAAATTTAGGAATTTTGGTCAATAATGATAATTAAACAATATTGTGCTAAATGCGTTTTTGTGCTGAAACCTTGCCTGGTTTAGGCCTGTCATGGATAAATAATGATGACAATAAAACCACCAGTAGGAGGCAGCAAGCCCTTGTTTTGATAAATTATTTATTGAATCGTTCAAATAAAACAATTCATTCAAAACGGCTGATTCAATTAGAAACGAAACAAGCCTGCGTCCCAATGTGCAAACTATCCCATCCTAAATTCTATGTGATATTAGTCATTTTCAATACTATTTAGGCAGATATGGTGGATAGTCCTAGTTGATAGTCCACATTGGGACGCAGGGAAAGTGTCCATCTGAATTGACGGATGGTTGAATCACTGGCTCACTCGATTCATTCAAAAACTGATTCATTCAAGGAACAAAACACCGTGTTGCTATGCACTGTTGTTTAAAATGAATAGCACTTTGTGCTTGCGCATGTACTGATATTCAGAAAAGTACATTGCTTGTGCAATGAATATAAAAACATAAAAACTCATACATGGGTATTTTTTCTTTAATTGCTTGAATTATAAGGTTATTTTACCTGTATTCTAACAGGCTTCATCGCGCAGTGAATGCCTTTGGACTCTCAAGACGTGTTTTTGTCTGGTTTTTGCAAGGACGATGACTCGATAATGTCAGCTCTCCTATAGTCTCTCAGTCCCTCACAGTTACACATACAGCACAATAACAGGGGAATCTTTCAATTCTAATGAAGGAAAAATCCTACCTTTTCTGTTGTCTTCTTTTTAAATAAATTCAAAAGTTGCGCTAGAACCATTTTTGCGCGAAAAATGCTGAATCGGCCAATCGCCGTTATTCATGAAATATCTTAAGTAGATCATTTTAACATTTAATTTGCATGATAAGTTTTACATAATACACATTATTAATCCAATTGTATATATTCTTCTAAAAGAACATAAAAATAAAAGTTGAAAACAAAAAAAAGTTTAATTTAAAGGGTTTAAACTATAGAACAGTTACAAGGGCTTGCTTGGTCATTTTTTATTACAATTTTTTTTTTATGAATTTTGCTGTTGTATTGAAAATGTAATGTTTGTAGTTTGACATGTTATAAATGCAGATTATATTTTGTTACCCTCAGTATCAAATTTAGTAACTAGTTCCACAGCAATTTCTAGTTATGATGGGTAAGTAATAAATTCAAAACATTTTAGTTGAATAAACTATACAACTATTTGTGCAAACATACTTTTTAAAGTTCCAGTTTGGGCCAACTAACAAATAACAAATCATGTTTTGTAGAAAGAAATTGGATGAACATAAAAAATCTAATAATTTACTCAATAATAATTCATTGAGACTGAATTTTTTATACAGTGCAGCGACTCTCTGTGTTTGCCAGACTGGAGAAGACAATAAATGTTGAGGCTGTCAGCAACATTTTTAGGCATTTCTGTGTTGATTTGCTGGCCAAGAATGTCAGGGGTGGATTTAACAATAACATCAACAACTTCTTTAAAAACTTTATTTTCTTTATGCCCTTATCACACAAAAGCCATGGCATTCTCATATTATCTGGTCATTTATAATACATTTTCAATTTATTTAATACTTATAACATTCATTCATTTTATATGCAATTTTCCTTTTTTTCATTAGACAAATATTTGGAATGGGATGAAGACCATATGCCTTTTTTATTGTGTGTCATAAAATTGCATATAGATCATCTCACCACGTAATAAAAATGTACTATAGTAATTAAACATAAAGGGTAAAAGCTCTAAGCTGTTACTTTAAAGTATGCTGACAGTGACATTTAAAATGTAACGCTTGCTTCCTTCATTTGAACCATTTCCTTAAACCTTCCTGCATCCTGTAGAAGATGCTTGGCTCAGAAGTGTGATCTTTCTGGGATGTATATGCATCCCATTCTTTTGGAAGCACGTCTCCTGTAGAAACCTTACTGATGATCTCTGCCTTCTTCCTGACTTCCATTAAAGACTGAATGCGATCTCGAAATCCTGGCTTGGCCTCTTGTTTCTCAGACTCAATCATCAGATCAATGTAGTCAGGGGTGGAAAGAGGATTGGGCTTGAGAGCAATTTCCTGCAGTCGCTCCAAGGACTTTTGAGATTTTTCAATTAATCCAGCAACAATACCCTGAACATCCTTAAGCTCCTTTTCAAGCTCTTCAAAGATCTTTTCATTTGACATGACCTGTCCATGTGCAGCCTCAAATCGCTTCTTTAAACCCTGATAGGTTCCCTTTCTCTTTTCTTTGACATAAGTCCATTTGTATTTTTGATTGAAGTGCACATTCCATGCACACTTTCCTGGACAGACCTGACACTTTCCATCTTTCATCGCACAGCACTTATATTTATCACTGTCATTTGCATAAACACATGCATCATGACATGTGAAGTGACAAGTCTGGCAGTTGGTCAAAAAGGAGCTTGTTTTGTTTTCAATCTGTTTTGGGACAGTTACTTGTAGTTCATATTCAAAATCCTTGTTTGCATCCATTTCAGCCTTGTGTTGCTGTAAAGCAGCTCTTGTTTTCTTGATTTCATCCAGATTTGTCAGACCAGCATTTATTTGGGGCTGGAGGCCTTCCACAAGCACTTCTAGCTGTTGCCGCTCTTTTAGGACCTCCTGTGTCAGAGACAAGCTCTTGGTTTCCATCTCGTTAAGGGATTTGAAGAATTTTTTCATGCTGGAAAATCCCAACTTCCAGAACATTTGGTCAAAGGTTTCACAATCAGACTCCTCATCCTCTGCAGTTTTATTATTGATAGCAAACAGAGCAGAGTTGTTGAACTTGAAGTGAAG